TCCGGGCACTTTGCCAGTCAATCCACTATAAACGAATTTAACAACTTATAGTTTATCAGACAAGACGACCCGTACTATCTATCACCCGACTGTACTCCTCACAGCTCTCCATGGATCCATGCTCTCTTGCACCAATCCTCAGCTGCTGTTGCCAAAGCTCTCCATGGAATCTGCTACCCTACAACATTCCAAGCCTTGTGAATTCGTCTATCTCCTGTGGATCACGAAGAATAACCCATTCTTCACAGACTGGAACTCCAGTCGCCTTTCTCGATCTTTAGCACATCTGATAGATATGCAGAAAATTTGGCTTTTGGTATTTGGATATTGGATCTGATGTTTTTCTGACCAAAACACTCACACTAGATGAAGGTTGAATTATGCAATGATTAGATCTTCTCAATGATGTACCTCTCTCAATTAACAACCTTCACTTTTGCATTCTGTACAAGTTCTGGTATATAGATATGTCAAGAAATCAATGGGCAGAGAAAAAAGCTTTTGAAATGCAAAAATAAAATTTCCCATATAAAGCTATCGCTCAAGTGAAGAGCCAGATATANTTTGACACTCTATCAAATTAAGTCCCTTTGTTCACAGAATTAGCCAATTACAAAATCAACTAAAAACTAACAAACTCCCAATTTGGCATTCTGTGACAAAATACCAATCTATGTCAAGACAGTAATAAAATAAAAGTTACAGACTCAAAATAATGACACAACCTAAACTACAAACTGTTTTAAACGAACTCTAAAGTACATGTTTCCTGAAATAGACAACTCAAATACCAGTGTGAAATGTGTGGAAAATAGTATCAAAGATAATCACAGTTCAAACGGTTCACTTGTAGATGTCATTTAAGCAATTGTAATTCAAATAGCATATTTTGCAATGTTAAATCAAAAGTTAAACTAAGACAAAGTATCAATGCAACCTAATATATCAAAATGAAGCATTGACACTGTAAAAACTTAATTTAGCGAAACTGAATTCAGACAAATATGCGTATGCTCCCCCTTACTGCAAACTCTCAATGTGATTAAGGAGTAGGTGAATTTTTGTTTTTGCAATGATTTTTTCACAAAATGACAAGGGGCAAAGCAGAAACACACAACAGCACAATAATGTAGGTATAATCAATCACAAATAGATGCAGTGAACAGTAAACTTTCCCACAAAGCCAACTTAAAGCATCCATGGAGTAAATGATATAAGTGACTTATATGTGTGAAGTGTCACTAATCCTCTAACAGTAGGACTCCAAACCCTAAATTTGTGAGAAAGGACATGTGAAACATCACTGCTAATAAGTATATTCCTCTACTTATAAAAGTCAAACCGTATAGCACATTAGAACTTACATATAAAAAGCTTATTTCTAATGAAGAATTTATTTTCTCCTCCTGCCTTACAGCACAATTTTTTTTTAATCACAACTTTCAATAGGAATGCTCACACATTTTTTATTCATCTTAAGTGTAGGCTCCTTTCTATTAAGTGACTAACATGACCCCTGTAACGAGCTTTAGGCCGGTTAACCCAAGTCAGATAACCATAGGCACCAAGTTATGAGAAACCCCGTAAGCTTAATTAATCAAGTCAAGTAGGCTTCGAAAAGAAGCATTAAGATATTGAGACCCTTATGATTATTTTTCTAGACATACAGTGATTCTTACAAGGGTAATATCGTGCTTAGTCAAAAAATGGTCATTTCATGTTCAAAGTCGCCCTACTAACATGTGACAGTCATCCCAAATCTCACACACGTGCTAGAGTCCTACTTTCAAGATCATAGTGTGTGCAGTGCAGATGGTTTACGAAGAGACCTATATAAAATACTCAATAAGTATCCTAAGCTAGCAATGAAAATTATACTATAGCCCACCAAATAAACTCACTCTTGATTAGAACCAACAAGTGTATTGTATGTTATGTTGAAAAACAAAATCAAGTGTATTGTATATTATGCTGAAAAACTAATTTCCAAATCAAACACCCCCTTTCTTTTCGAAGAAAAAATGAATGCACCAAGCACACAAAACACAAAATAAAAATACACGAGAACAAGTAAATAAATATGATGGATGCATAAAAAACGTCATACCCAATAATAAGTCGCATGGCGCTCAGGTGTGATTCCTTAGGATCATCCTGAAAACGCGCATATACCCCTACACTAAATACTATGTCAGGTCTACTAGCAGTGAGGTAAAGCAGACTACCTATCATACGCATACACAGTGTTTGATCAACGCTCTTGCCTATATAATCTAAACCTAACTTGACAATGGTGCTCATAGGGGTTCTACTGTGTTTCTTGCTGTCTAACCCAAAATGCTTGACAAGATTCTTGACATATTTCGATTGAGAAATGAACAATCCCTCATCAGTCTGCTTGGCTTGAAGACCAAGAAAGTACGTTAATTCACCAATCATGATCATCTCAATTCTTGTTTCATACACTCAACGAACTCATGAGCAAGAGAATCAACGGGAGACCCAAAGACGATGTCATCCACATATATCTGAACTATGGTGATGGTATCCTCAATCTGTCTTATAAACAAGGTTCTATCTGCACCACCTCTAGCGAAACCCTGTTCCAGAAGGTATGCAGTAAGCCGATCATACCAAGCTCTAGTTGCTTATTTCAGTCCATACAGAGCTTTATTCAGTCTATATACATAGTGAGGATATTTCGATTCTTCTTCCTGAAGAACACCATTCAAAAAAGGTACTCTTGACATCCATTTGATAAAATCTGAACCTCAAGGAACATGCAACTGCAAGAAGAATTCTAATGGATTCAAGTCTAGCTACCGGGGCAACAGTTTCATCAAAATCAACACCTTCAACCTGAGTGTATCCCTGAGCAACCAACCTAGCCTTATTTCTCGTAATGGTACCTTGATCATCCACCTTATTCTTGAATATCCACTTGGTACCTATAATATTGTAATTATCAGGCCTAGGCACTAAGTCCCAAACATTGTTTCTAACAAATTGATTTAACTCATCATGCATGGTATTGACACAGTATTCATCCCCAATGGTTTCCTTAACCTTCTTCGGTTCAATCTGAGTCACATAGCTTGCATATGACATATTTTTTAGAACCTTCTTGCGAAGTCTCATTCCTTCTTCTATATCTCCAATCATGTTATCCTTTGGGTAATTCAATTTGATTCTAGACGAAAGTTCTTTGGGTAGTTTAGATTCATTATCCGGAGTAGAATCCTTAGTTGGAACAACCAACTCATTTGATGTTTGTAGGGGATCAACATTCAACTGTTCCAGCTCAATACACTCTCCGTCAATCTTCCCTCTACTACAAGCATCATCAACCACCACATTGATAGATTCCATGACAACACGTGTNTGTACACCCGATAAGCCCAACTATTCTTGGAATAACCTAAGAATATACCTTCATCACTCTTGGAACAAACTTTCCCAAGTTCTCTCTATCTCTCAGAATGTAGCACTTCCTGCCAAACATACGAAAGTACTTGACAGTAGGCTATTTACCCTTCCAGATCTCATATGGTGTCATGTCAGTTTTTGGTCTAAGATAAACTTTATTGATAATGTGACATGCCGTATTTATGGCTTCACCCCATAAATGTATAGCTAAATTTTTACCATGAAGCATAGCTCTCGCCATTTCTTGAAACATACGATTTTTCCCTTCAACTACCTCATTCTGTTGTGGAGTGATTGGTGAGGAGAACTCATGTTGGATTCCCTCATCCAGACAGAAGTTCTCAAGATTTGAGTTTTCGAATTCTTTGCCATGATCACTACGAATTCTAGACACTGAACAACCTTTCTCATTTTCGAGTTTCTCACACAGGGATATGACAAGACTGAACACTTCAGTTTTATCTCTCAACAATTCAATCCAAGTGAAATGAGAAAAATCATCAACCACAACCAAGATATATCTTTTACCACAAAGACTTTCAGTCCTCAATGATCCTATCAGATCCATATGGAGTAATTTAAGAGGCTTTCTCGTCAAGATCTTAGAAGACTTTTTGTGGGGCACGCTAAGCTATTTACCTTGTTGACACGGACCACAAACAGTGATATCAAAATTATCCAGCATAGGTAGACCATTGACAATCTCCTTCTTGGCAAGTTTGGACAGACTGTTATGGTTCATATGCCCCAGTCATTGATGCCACAACTCAGTTATATTGATCTTGGCACTACTATACCTATAATCAGAGTTAGGTACGACTCCGTAACAATTTTTAGATATTCTGACACCTTCAAGGACAATGTTACCAATCGAGTCATAAACAGAACACCTTTTCTGGACAAATGTTATCTCAAAATCAGTATCACAAATTTGACTAATACTCAACAAATTTGACTTTAAACCTTTCGCATACAGCACGTCTGAGATGGCAGGTAGTCCAGCAATACTCACAACTTCCTTTCCACGTATCGATATAGTAGCTCTATCATCAAATGTAACTACACCACCATTCCACTTATCAAGTAAAGAAAATAAGGATTTGTCACCACACATGTGTCTTGAACATACACTGTCAAGGTACCACATGGAATTATTTTGTACTTTGAGAGCAAGGTGAGCAACATGAAAATTTAACAGATCTCCCAATCGTTCACTTTTATTCTCACTACCAGATATCTCATTCTAATAGCTAGACTCTGACTCCTCATCACTCATTGTCACAGCTAAGGCCTTACGATGTTCTATACCTAAATTTCTCTTCAAATTTGGACATTCACTCCTAATGTCACTATACCCCTTATACTTATGGCATTGAACAGATTGAGATCTCTAAACGGGAGTCCTAGAGGTCTTATTCTCATGCCTACCTCTCGTGAATCTCCTGAGGTTATCTCCTATTCCTCATCACCTTCTGGAATTTTTTAACGAAATAAGCAATTTCGTCGTCCCTAAGTATCTTAGTGTCAGTAGACTCGCTCTCAACTTCTCTAACAGTGTTTATGGTAATGGATTTCTATTTCTTAGGTTGTGCTAAGGTCAATTCATAAGGTTGGAGGGATCCTACGAGTTCTTCTACTTTAACGCTATCTAGGTCCTTACTTTCTTCAATGGCAGTTACCTTAGGTCTAAACCTTTCAGGTAGGGATCTAAGAACCATACGCATGATTTTTGCCTCAGGGATCCTTTCGCCTAGATTAAAACTAGAGTTCACAATACCGTTCAGCATAGCATAGAACTCATCAAATCTCTCATCATCATTCATCCTAAGTTCTTCAAATCTAGACGTCAATATCTGCAGTTTAGATTTCTGAACAATTTTAGTTCCCTCATGTGTGGTTTCTAAAATATCCCAAACTTTCTTAGCAGTTTCACACATCGATACACGCCTAAATTCTTCAGCAGAAACAGCCATGAACGGGGCATGAAGGCCCTTACTATTCCAATTATACTCATCCAAATTTGTTTTCGACCACAGTGAGATATCAGTGTGTGTAACTACACCAGCAACAGTTGTTGAAGATGGAGCCCACCCATCTTGAACGATAATCCAAACACGTTCATCCATAGATTCAAGAAAGGCTCTCATTCGAACCTTCCAGTATGCATAGATGCTTTCGTCGAAGAACGGAGGCACAGATGATGACTGACTCATCTAGACTTAACAAATAAGGGTCAGGAATCGATGTAAGACTCTGATACCAATTGAGAAATACAAGTTCGACCCTAACAACACCTAGAGGGGATGAATGGGTGCAATATATGGAATTAAAATCTTATTAACTAATTAGCAACAAGTCACCAATTACTTATATGTAGATAGTTAATCATACAGTCAGCTTAATCTTAAGTTTAAATACCACAGATCATTCATTCGTAACATAAAGCAGTAAATCAAACACCAGAATGATCACGGAGAAGCCCAACTACGAAAAACTCCGAGTACTTTGCCAGTCAATTCACTATGAACGAATTTAACAACTTACAGTCTACCAGACTTGACGACTCTTACTATCTGATCGTTCGAGTACACTCATCACAGCTCTCCATGGATCCCGTGCTCTCCTGCACCAATCCTCAGCTGCCTCTCTGAGGAATCTGCTTCCCTTCAGCATTCCAAGCCTCATGAATTCATCTATCTCTCGTGGATCACAAAGAACAACCCGTTCTTCACAGACTGGAACTCTAGTCGCCTTCCTCGATCTTTAACACCTCTGACAGATACGCAGGAAGTTTGGCTTTTCGTATTTGGATATTGAATCTGATAATAAACACTCACACAAGATGAAGGTTGATCTTCAGCACCTTTGTCAGTTTTAGGAAGTTTGGCGTTTGGTATTTGGATATTAGATCTAATGTTTTTCTGACCAAAAGACTCAGACAAGATGAAGGTTGAATGATGGAATGATTAGATCTTCTCAATGATGTACCTCTTTCAATTAACAACCTTCATTTTTACGTTTTGTATGAGTTCTGGTATATATAGATAGGTCAAGAAATCAATGGACCTAGACAAAAGCCTTTAAAATGCAAAAATAAAATTTCTCATATAAAGCTTTCGTTCGAGCAAAGAGCCAGTGACAATCGAGCGACGGTGCTTCGCTCGAGCGAAGGAGGGGCGACAGTCCAGTGAAACAGTTTCTATTTTTGTAGCTTGAGCCAACCCTTAGCTATAGTCTAGCGAAAATCCACGTAGTTTTCCTCCTTGTTCCAAACTCAAAACCCTAGACCTATTTAACTAACTTTTAAACAAATTACGCATTACTCCTTGAACTTTGACGCTCTATCAAATTACGTTATTTTGTTTACAGAATTATCCAATTACAAAATCAACTAAAACCTTACAACTAATATGCTCGGATCGCTGATAAAAATGTTGGAAATACAGGAATTATGTATTGTTTTAATGCAACTTGATGAAACCAACCACCGAAATGAAACACACACGCTAAATCTAGAATGCAATCATCCTCTGCTTTAGACTCAGTGTTAGAAATAGCCAAGAGATCTCCATCACTTACAATGTTCTCAACGATGTTTGCTTTACCTAAAATTTTCGATTGCTTCCCATATCGACTTGCAGCCAACCTTTCTTTATTTTGTAAGTTGTAACAATCCTTCTTCATGTACCCCTTCTTCTTGGAGTAACTACAAATCTGATTACTGAACTTAGACTTCGATGTGCCCCTTCAGAATCACCATGAACAACAAAGCCTTCTCCATCTCTGGCCTCTAAAACCAAATACTTTATCTTTTCTTTTGAAAATAAAGTATCATACATCTTATCTATGGTAAGTGTATCTTGACTACACAAGATTGTGTCTCTAAATGAAGAAAATAAAATAGGCAACGAAGACAATAGGATCAATGGCAAATCTTCTTCATCATACTTTACTACCAAAGTTTCCAAATTAGTGATGATCTCTTCAAATAAAAGCAGTTGATTTTCCAATGATCCTCATTCTACAATTCGATGAGAGTATAAACACTATTTGAGATGCACCTTGCTTGTCAAACTTTTAGTCATTCACAATTACTCCAAATTCAACAATAAAGCAGCTGTTGAACCCTCCTTCAAAATGACCTAAAGAATGGTATTCGATAAATGAAGATGAACGTGAGAAACTACCTTCTTATCCTTCCGTAATTTCTCCTCCGAGGTCAAAGTTGCGGGCATTTTGTTAATTTCAGGCAATGCATCATCAAAATCCAGCTGTATGAGTATTGCACACATCTTAACCCGTCATAGCGAAAATCTAGTGCTTTGATCCAAAAGCGAAATGTCATACTTCATGAAAGCCATCACAAACAAAAACTTCAAACAAATTAACCCATACGCTCTTGGAAAACTGCTGAACCCAGGCTCTAATACCGTTTGTTGTGAAACAAACAAGATATCTCTTGTTAGAAGAACTATGAATATGCTCGGATCCCTAATAGCAATATTGGAAATACAAGAATTATGTATTGTTTGAATACCACTTAATGAAACCAACCACAGGAATGAATTGTTGAAGTCATATGGCAAATAATGAAGTATTAGATTAAGCAAAAAAATAATAATGACAAGAAATATGGCAGATGAATTAAGAGATTTTATTGACTCAAGAAGTAAGATACTAAAAAATCGAGTCAAAAACGAAAAAGAAGAGAAAAACGTGAAAAACCTGGAACATACAGGTGGTTCCTAGGTACCAGGTTGCTGTCAACCTTCTTGTTGTAAGACAGAAACCTGGCGCCTAAGCACCAGGTCTCAGCCAAAAAAAATTCAATTTTGTTTTTCTCCATTTTGAACCTTTCTTCAAGCCCAATACCAATTTTCAACTCCTAATGAGTCTCCAAAATATAACTTTAACTTGATGCAGGACTCCAATAGAATTCCAAACTCAATTCTTCTTCACGTGCACTTCAATTAGAATTCTTCAATTATTTCAACAAGGAATTCGGGACACACCCAAATTCTAACAAGTATAATTTTTTATGCACAAAGTATAATTCTTCAATTAATTGTATCTCAATATGTCCCCTTCTACTTGTTCTTTTATGCACAAAGAAACATACAGAGTTATCCCACAAGGTCAAACGATATCAATAGTATAATAGGAACCCCTATGACAATATAGTCATATATGTAATTGTGAGACCAATATTTTCAAGACGTCGATCCCGTTGACAAAAATAGAGGCACATTTAATGTGTCATCACCCTTCAATATTGTAATAAATTTGATTTTTAGGTAAAGAGCCCTATTAATAATCATCGTTAGGCCATATATTTATTTTGGAATTGTAGTATTGCGTATTTATGACTATAATTAGATGAACTTTCTTGGTATAATATAGATATTGTAACGCCCCAAATTTTTAATGACTTAAACCTTGGAGCGTTACCAATATCATTCCGTAAACATAATTGAAGCGGAAAATTTTAATTGAAAACTTTAAACTTTAATAAATAATAAACTTCATAACATCCAACTTAAATCGTTCCAAAACATTAGATGAAACACATTAAACATTCAATAGCAATTTAAGAAATACTAATATCTAAACATAAATA